TAAGGCTAAGTTCCCCAACATTTTGTTTTTAAAAATGAAGAGGAAATAACACCTGAGATAAACTTGCTATATGTACAATAGTTATGTGCTGTTGTTGCTTGTAGGTTTTCTGGTTATGATTTTTGGTCTTTTGAAACATAGTTTCAAAAGAAAAGAAAAATACTAATTCAACAGACAACCAGTTTAAAGTTAAATGTGTGACTGGTTATTCATATTCTTTTTTTTTTTTTGATGAGTCATTCATTGGTCAACAATAGATTAGGACTCAAGTTACAGTTCAATTACAAAAGTATCATTTGGAAAATATGTCCAAAAACAGATCTGAAAGTAACCTTTCAACACTGAACAAAAGAATGTCAGTACTCTGAAACCTTTCCAAATCATTAGAAATGACCAATCAATATGATATGCAACTGAAATGCAACATAAATGGTAAGGCAGACACCTACATCAACTTAATTAAGCTTCTCAGTTCCACTTTGCTTGCTTTTGGCAACTGAAAATGTCTGACATGAAGAAATATGCTAACAGAAGTTGAGAATAAATGCAATTCTGAGTAACAAATTTTGATTTTGATTCATTCAATTACAAATACGTATTGAGTTTCTATCAGGCACTCAGAACTTCTTATAAAGCAATAATACAAACTGTGACTTCTCAATTCAAGATTTCAATTTGTAAATCTTTGAATAGAATTCAAGTGCCCCTCTAAGTAACTACATTCTATTATCTCTCATATAAATTATTATACATATAATTATAATCTTATAGTATCAATATAAAATGTATATTTTTTTATAAAAAAACAATTTTCAACAACTAATGATTACTAATGAATAGTAAATGAAGAGATCGTGCCTTTGTTGGTAAAAATTTTTTAAAAGTTATCAGTTTGTCAAATTGCTGTTACTAATATTTTTTTGTATATGTCTCCTTGGACAAGGGAAACAAAACAAGAAACAAATGGTTTCTTACATAAAACTAAAAAGTTTTTGCACAGCGAGGGAAAACATTAACAAAACAAAAAGACAGCCTACTGAATGGGAGAAGATATTTGCCAATGATACATCTAATAAGGGGCTAACATCCAAAATATATAAGAAACTCATACAAAATCTGAAAAAGAAACAAACAAGCAATCAAATAAAAAAATGGGCAGAGGACCTGAATATATAATTCTTCAAAGAGGACATACAGATGGTCAATAGACATATGAAAAGATGCTCAACATTACTAATCATCAGAGAAATGCAAGTTAAAATGACAAAGAGATAGCCATTCTGACAGATGTGAGGTGCTATCATCAATAAATCAACAAATGAGTGTTGCTGAGGATGTGGAGAAAAATAGAACCCTTACGCACTGTTGGTGGGATTGTAAATTGGTGCAGCCATCATGGAAAACAGTATGAAGGCTCCTCAAAAAATTAAAAATATAATTACCATACCCAAACCATCAGAAAGATATATGCATCTCTATGTTTATTGCAGCATTATTTACAATAAATAATCAAGATATGGAAGCAACATAAGTGTCCATCGATAGGTGAATGCATAAAGATGTGGTACATATATACAATGGAGGACTGCTCGGCCATATAAAAGAATGAAATCTTGCCATTTGCAACAACATGAATGGACCTAGAGGGTATTCTGCTAAGTGAAATAAGTCAGGGAAAGACAAATATCATATGATTTCATTCATATGTGGAATCTAAAGAAGAAAATAAGTGAACAAACAAAACAGAAACAAGCTCATACAGAGAACAAACTGATGGTTGCCAGATGGGAAGGGGTTTGGTGGATGGGTGAAAAGGGGGAAGGAGTTAAGAAGCACAAATTGGCAGTTATAAAAATAGTCATGGGATGTAAGGTACAGCATAGGGAATATAGTCCATAATAATAACTACGTATCTTGTTAGACGGGTACTAGACTTACAAGGGTCACCACTTCTTAAGATTTATAAATGTCTAATCACTATTTTGTACACCTAAAACTAATATAATATTTTATATCAACTATAATTGAAATACAAAAGTAATTGTTTAAAAAAGTTATCAGATTGTCAAAAAATAGCATTTTTGTTTTTTTCTGGCGAGATGGTAAATTCTGCACTGTTAAAGCAAAAATTGCAGTAGACAAACTTAGGAAATTTTTATCCAAGGCTATGCTACAAGAAAGATAAATCAGAACTCAGTTTGAACTCAACTCCACTGAAATGAAAGATGTGAAAGGTTTTAAGACTTGAGGTGTGGAACGGAGCGGAAAGTTTTTAAGAGTTGGAGTGGGCAGAATCCTAGTCATCTGTGTTAGCTAATTGGCCTTACCCAAATTAAAAAATCACTTTCTCTTATCCTCATGACAGGAGGTAGTATTACAACTTGGAACAAGGCCCTTACCCAAGTTAGGCTTCTATCCTCCTACAGACACTGAGAGACAGGGACAGGTCTTCCTTGATGATTCCATTCAAAACAGATGGTTCTCCCAGGTTCTTGAGAAAGCCAGTACTAGGTTGTAAAATTGGCAGGTGTCTTTAAAAGGTTTACATCCCAAAATCTCAGACAAAAAATTTACAATTATAAGTTTTTAAAGTAAATGCTCTAAGAAAAGGGAAGTTAGAGGCCTCTGGGGTCAGGCCTCTGGATTCTGTAAGGATGAAAGTAAGGGGAGGCTCATGGGCTTAGAGTCAGAAAGAACCCTGTCTGAAGTTTTGTCAAGGTGAGGGAAATGTTAAGGCCATCTTGGCATACTTAATGCTAAAAGCAACATTTATTCAATAAAAATATCAATATCAAAAGTATAACCACAAGTAGATACAATCAATCACATTTTGTTAGCATCAAAAGGCAATTGTCAATTTATCACACACTAAAAATAAGGCATTGTTTTTCCATAGGCCTACCTGCCTTGTTTTCACTCTTTAAACCAGCAGTTGGCAATCTAGGGCCTAGAGCCAAGCCCAGTCCTTAGTTTTTGTTTTTAAAATAAAGTTGTATCAGCACATGGCCATGTCCATCTGTTTATTTAATAACTACAACTGCTTTTGCACTAGGAGTGCAGAGGTGAGCAGTTGTGACAGAGATCATAAGAAACACAAAGCTGAAAGTATTTACTATCTGGCCCTTTACAGAAAAAAAAAAAATCACCAACCCGCTGCTTTAGACTAATATCTAGTGTGAAGAGGGGCTTTGTTAAAACTGGGTATTACAAATGTGATATGACCAAATTCACCTGCAGGTCATTTGATACCAATAAGTATCCCAAAACATTGTTTTATTGTTGTTGTTTACATAGGTTAAAAAAAGTAAGAGAAAAATGCAAGTGATAAAATGAAGGAGGGATGCCTCTCCTCTTTTAAACTATCATACATTTACCAGTTTTCCATATTAACATGACTGTGCTTAGAATGTAAGAAACATGAACATGAAGAAATCTGAATCGGCTCACAGAGATATTTGCAATAAATCCAACATGATCCTTCTTTTATTGGCATTCTTTCCAGAAGGTATTTTTTGGTTTTTGTGTTTTTTAAACATATCTCTTTTTTTGTCAGACCACTTCATTTATTTTAAACTGTTAATAGTTGCATTTTAATTGTACAATTTTTTTCTAGGTATTCTGCCGAATTACTATAGTCATTGACATGGGATGTAGCAGATGGCAAAGTTGCTCCATTTTAGCTACTCAATTACAAATAGGTACCTCTAAAAGAGTGAGCTCCCTGTTACTGGACACAAGAAAGCAGAAAGATGACATCCACCAGCCAGGATGCAACAACAGGGTTTCCTGATCTGGAGGGAGGTTCAATTTGGTGACCTCTAACTTTCTTGTCATGTCTAAGAATCTATACATCTTTACTATTGGGTTGACGATAAGTCATGATGCATTTTTGCAATGAAAAACATAGAAAAAATACATCATGACTTTTCCGACAACCCAATATTTCATGGTAGAACATTCTGTAAAGTGAAAAAGTACACATACTTTGTCAAAACATTTAAAGAAATTAATTTTTACATATGCTGTTCCAGAATTATGACTGGTGATTACATGCTATGAACATTAAACTTTGAAGAAGAGCACTGAGTTTGGGTCAATACACATCCACCAAGATGGCTGAAAATGACTGATTATCTGGGCCAGTATCTATTCAGTTCATGTGAAAATATGATTTGATCATTAATATGAAAGAAGTCTTCTGAAATATGTACATTAATAGGTTACATATTACACATGGCATATATATGAAAAAGTGCACTTACAATCTTAGATCAGGTTTCAAAAGGTAAACTACAGGCAAACAATAACCCAATTCTAAATCCTTAAACTCCTCAGTAATGGTTATGTGTCTGTATGGGTCACTTCTGTAGAATTATATTTACTGTAGTGTTTGGGTTCTATGGGTTCTCAGTCATCTTGGTTTTACTGAATTAGCAGCAACGATATAAATATAGGAAGGAATGACATAGTCTAATGTTGGGGCTAAGAGACTGTGATGGCTCTAGATGTGTCCCTGACATTAATAGGCTTTGTGGCCTTGGACAATGCACTTCAATCATCAGGCTTTGTTTCCTAAAATATCAAATAAAGCATTGGTTCCCAAACTTTAGAGTATGTGAGAATTACCTGTAGAGCTTGTTAAAGCACGTATCATTGGGCCCCACCCTCAGAGTTTCTGATTTGGGGGACCGGGTGGTGGGGGTGGAGGGGGTTGTGGGGGTGGAGAATTTGCATCCCTAAATTCCCAGGTACTGCTAATGTTGCTAGTCAAGGGACCACACCTTGAAAACACAATAAAGGCGGGAAGATAATGGTAGTGAATTACCTAATCCTTAATACTCTATAGCTGTAAGAGACAGTAGCCAGGTTCAAACCGGCATATTAAAATAAAATTGTCTTTTTAATCAAAATTTCATTTGAATTAGAAGAGGGGAGATGAACGATCTTTTTTTCTTTAGATTTCAAGAGATTTTTGAACACAGATGTTTTATAGTACTTACGTCATTGCTTGATAAATGGACTCAATCCCATAACGCATGGCAAATTCATCGACTATTTCTTGGGAAGCATCATCAAAGAAAACCTTCCAGGCTTCATCCCCTTTGACCTCTGGGATTTTCACTGCACCATTAGATTTCACTTCAGTCAAGTAATGGAACAGATTCTAAAAGTAAGTGGTTTTCAATTGTTCAGTAATTCCTTAGAACAGGCCAGAAATATTTAACTGTAACTTTCAGTCAATTACACTTGCTTTGTAATTGCATCTAATGTTTCATTAGCATCTATAAGCAATTGGAATGGCTTGGATTTTCGTTCTAACTAGCCTCATCTTTATGCAAATTCTGACTTTATTTCTGCCTGGTTCTATACAGAATCAATGATTCAAATGTTTTATACATACCAAATAATCTTAGAAGAAAAGTAAAAGTTTTTGTATGTAAACATTTGTGAATGCTAGAACCCATTTTACACTCATGGGCTCTGAGTAAATGATAGAGCCTTGGATGAATAATCTGATTTTGGCTATGTTACTATAGCATCTAGGCATATAAATGAAAAGGCTTTGGCTGCAAAATGGTAGGAGTCCATTGAATTGAGTTTGAAAATGAATGTTTGAGAATTCTGTAATGGAAACACTCACTACGTACAATTTCTTTTTTGCTTCTAATAAGTTTAGAAACTGCTGCTTGGATGCAGCCTGGGACCATGAAGGACCCTTTCTTGGATTTCAGTTCTTTTTGGTTCTTGGACCAGCAGAAAAGACTGAAAAGCAAAACATAATGCTATTTCCCTGATCCCAAATCTCCGTTGCCCACACTTTGAGGCCAGAGTTGGTTCCCCATCCTGCCAGTTCAAGGGATTTCTTTTTATTGCTCTAAAAACTTAACCTTTCTTGAAGGAATGATAACACTGGACAGACTGTAGTCAGGAAATTAACCCTAGGTCCTATATTTAATTACTGTGTAATGTGCAAAAGACTTAGAGACTGTTCCTTATTCCTTCTTGAGTAAAATGGAGGTGCAAATAATTACACACATATAAACTTTCATAGATAAGTTTAGGAAAAATAATATGCAAAGAGCCAAGATTCTCTCAAGTATCTTTTTCTGTCTTAGGTGTTTTCTCTGTACCTCTTTGAACACAGGGAAAGGTGCATTCCTCAACTTCACCTCACATTTTTTGACACATGACACAAGTGTCACTTGTATCAGAGAAAGGTTCTGGTAACACCTCTAAGTTCTTAGATGCAAAGTATTCAATATAAGCTCAAGATCATTTGTCTGTGTATCTACTCCCCAGTCATGCCCTACCTTTAAATACCATTAGTGGGTAATTACATTCCGGCACTGTTCATACCCAGACATGTGTGAAAAGGTAGTTACAATGGAGAAGGGTTCAATGTGTGTGAAGCCTTTGTTGTACTCAGAAAAATAAAAAAAAAATTACTGTGTACTACATTGGTTCCCAAAAGCCATTGATACAACATAAACAATTTTATATTTCTAGTTGTAAACAATACTCCTAATTAAATCTTCACTAAAACCTGAACACTAATTAGAGTTCTCAAAAACAATCATGAGTTGGAGCTTCTCCTACATTATCAAAGTACTATATTGTTAACTGTTCCTAAATATTTGTCATGCCAGTTCTTCAATGAACGCTTTTTTAATATTCTTTGTCCTCCTTGGAAGAATGGTAATTTCATTTGGTCTACTTATTCATTACTCTCTTATTGCCTTGTTTCTTAATACCTGTAGAGGATACCTGCCCTCTCTTCAGGGGGCAATTCTCAGGCTGTGTGATACCCTAGCTCATTACTGCTGTAGTAGAGAGTTAGAACTCCAGGAACACCACCACAAACCTAATTCAATGATATTTTTAAGTCAAATATTTCGTTGTATGATCCATAATCAAGACCAGTTTCTTTTCTAGGTTTTATTATTATTATTAATACAATTAAATTGACTTACCTCATGTAAACATGTATATTGTATGTGATACGGAGCAACCTTCTCCTCTCCTTTTATTTCCACATTGATTTTCAATCGAATAGCCCCAGATACAGCTGACTTATCTGTCCGTTTCTCTGATAAAGCAAAAGGTGGTCTGTCATTTTTGACAATACCATATTTCTCATACCAGTTCTCCAAAGCTTTAAAAGAGGCTTACATTGCTAAAAGCCATTTTTTTTCTAGATCAGGCTTGATTATTACCTAGCCATAATGAGTCTGGTAAATACCATTTGAAATAACGTGCCTATTGTGTCATTGTGATTGTCAAACCACATTATAGATACATCACACAGAAAAGCTTAATCAGAAGACCCCGCCATTCTGATATAAATTTCTGTGTACTTGATTTGTTTATACAATGAAATTAAATCATTTAGGCAATTAAAAGCAATATAACTTAAAATTAACCAGGAAAATATTTTACCTAAAATCTTCCACTTCTCTTTCTTTTTGTGCTTGAAAACATGAGTGAAAACTCTGGCTACAAAAAAATGTTATTAACCCTTTTCTCTGTTAGTGACGCATAAAGACCTACAGTCTACAGCCTGTGTTTACTTATGAGTGCTGGATTAACAAATTCTTTTAATGGAATCAATATGCAGTTAATTCAGTCAAATAATGTGTGTGGGGGCATGCACACATGTGTCCAATATGAACTGATCAGTAGCTTTGAGAAACAAAAGCACAGTCACAAGATTCTTAGCATGTGAATGTCGGTAGTGGATGTACACTGACACCCACATCACAGAAGAAACACAAAGAGACAAGCTGACCCATTTCACAAATTTACACAAAGTCAGCGGTCAAGACTTCTTTAATTGGCCCTCTTTCTAAGTATAACTGTACTTTTAGCCATATGCAATAATGTTAAATCATGAAGTCTACTTCCTTATGAAATGTCTGCTGACTTTTTATTGTCAACATTTAATAGTCACTGTGCTGTGAAGATTCTTCCCTCAGGAGCGCCAGGATCATGCAAGTTTCTCTTACTGACTGGGGGAGGGTTGATTCTCAATAAATCTTAAAAGTTCTCTGCTGGGGCCAAGAGAAATTACATGCAAGTCCTAGGAACTTTTTGTCACAGATTTCTTTCCAGAGCCCCAGGGCAGCATTACTGGTTCTTTGATTGTAACTCCCATCATCCCAGTTGGTTCAGGGGACACAAGTTCTGTGTGGATGCCTAGGGCTCCTGACCAGGTCCTCCGGTGCATGGTGGAATGAATTCTAAGTGGTGAAGAAGGAGGGACATTGTGCAAAGAATGAAAATATGGTACTTATGTGGATTGAAACCACTGAAGGATTTTACACACAGCTAAAACCTGTCCTTTATCCCTCCGTTTCTATTGTAAAAGGTTAAACAACAGCAATGAGGGTACAAAAGTACAACCTGCAGGTGAGCAGGCAAAGGCTTCCATGTCATGGTGCACCCTATTTTCCTCTCCATAGACTGAAGGGCAGCTTCAGCACGATGGCTGGGTAGCGGATTTTACCAACAGCACTCTGGCAAACCCAACACTGTACCCACGTATGTTTTGTCAAAAAAACAATTCGAGGAATTTCTGTTATGAATCCTCACTGCCAAAATTCAAGAACATGCTAACTCATTATAGAAAAAGGTCTTTGTATAGGCAAACTTCTTTAATTAAAACACAGTTTGTGAGTATCACAGAGTTAATGGCCCAAAGCTTATCCTTGCCTAACATCTCCTTTTTCATATATAAAGCTATTTAATAGTATAAACAAGATACGGGAAGATAATCATTATAACTGAGGTAAAAATGACATGCCGATAATATAGATGCACCGATTCTCTTTAAGGAAGACCTCTTTAAAATAAAATGTTTTTTGATAATGTGTTCTTAGTCTAGCTTGAATTTTGTGTCCAGATAAGTTATATATCTCTGCTTCTTTAAATTATGTAATTTAGAGTGTCATTAATTCTATGTGACCTTATTCCTTTACTTTGTCAAATATTTTACTTGAAGTATGTAGGTTTCAAAAAAACTGCAAAATATTCTTTAATTTGCTAAAATATATTGATATGCTAAATGGAAACTCTTAGTAATCTTGGACTGTGTAAACCCTTCTCTGATTCACAACCAGCACTTACAAATTTAATTAAAATATTTCAGATATGAGTAAGAAACTTTGGATCATATCCTTATAGAAACTGAGGTGATCCATATATTTTCACTATTATTAAATCAGCTCTGAAGAGTCTAGGCTATTATTGAATTCTAGAAGTCAAATTAAAACTTATAATTATTTAATTTTTGGTTCCATATAAAATTTCATTTAAAAATCATGCCAATTAAACATAGTCTCAATATTGTCATCATTAGAGTAAACATAAATCCATACACGTACTTGGCTTTGACAACTAAAGCCAACTTTGTATCACTATTTGAAAGATACCCAAAATACACATTTCCTTTTTTGCCAAAATTCATTAAGGGACTAAAAGGAAATAAGTCAAACAATATTAAATCATAGGTTGATTGTTTTCGATACATTTGGCAAAGGTTTCTGGATCTACATTTTATGATTTAAAAATTAAGAATGGGATAATATTTTTCTCCTAAAAGACACCAGGTTGATTCTGTGAAAGACTTTTGTCTTTTAATCTCAAATATACCGATGTCTTTCAATAATGCTGAATTTGAATAAATAATTATTACCTTTAGTTTGCAGTGAAACTAAACCGCTTAAAGTCCAACAGAATTTTCTAGAAAGGCATTGGTTATTTTTATCTATATGGGCATATAGGACATGCCACTGATATTCTGGAATTTTATTTAACAGTTTCTCAGATACTCACCTAAGTTGTACCAGACATCCATTTCTCCACTCAGGGTCCTCACTTCCACAATTGTTTGTCCCAGGAAATCATCTGACTCCTTTTTGAAATGTTGCTTGACTCTGGATTTGATGTCATCATCTTCATCCCACACTCTGACTTTGATTCGATCAGTGGAATTGTGGCACTCACTGAAAATAAAGGTGGATGAGTTAACAACCACTGACAACTGTTCTAAACGGCATTTGATGCTAGCAACTTATTTTAAGTCTATTTAATCCAGAAAAGCACAGTATATTACCTACTAAATAAGACTTCCCACTGACCCATTTCATCCATGGGATGATGCAGGTATCAGGGATATTGAAGGAAAGTTGCATTAGTTAAATAATGCATACCCTGTTCCCCATATTTCCTTTAACTGAACTAGATATAATCCAGTTTGGGTCAGAAAATTTGGTTTGGGGTACTTTCTCTATGACATATTTCTTATTCACAACAGTTTATCTACAACATATCCATGCTCAGAAAATTCCACACCATGAATATGAAGCCAATTTTACTGCAATGGGTGTTGAGAAAGTGGACGTCACATAGTCCACTTGATCAACTAAAATTCCCAGTAAGTATATGTGTATATTATTAAATCCAGTAAAATTAGGACAAAATCCTTCTGGTTTTTAGAATAAGTTGCACATTTTACTCCATCCCTCATTTTCGGGTTTCCTCCACCCCCTCTTGTTGAAGCCGACTACTTAGTATTGCCCGCACATTTAAGGTCTTCCCTGACCCTATGACTTTTATAACTACTCTTCCTTATGCTTTCCTGCCTGCTAACTAATCATTCCTTCAGAATCAACTAGTCACCTGCTCTTTCTAACTTTTTCTACAGGTTTTTTTAGCCAGTTAGGATGATCAATCCTGAGCTCCCAATTTACTCTGTACATGTATTCACTTACGTACACTGGACTTTAACCTGGGGTTACTGAATGAGTTCTGAGCATCTCTGAGGTTGGATTAAAAATAATAATAATAAAACAACTTTATCTTTATTTTCCTTCAATTATAAATTTAGGCAATGAACCATAGCAGTATTATCAGTACCTGTAAGATTTTTGTCACCAACGAAACCACAGATATTTACATGTAAAATCACAAGTGTTACGAAACTTGAAATATTATTTATAACTACCTTTACTGTACTAAAACTAAATCAACGTAATTTATTTTCAATTCTATTTATTTTATTTTATGCATTTAAAAATACAATTTTGAAAAAGGGTTCATAGTTTTCACCAGATTGCCACATGGGCTCATGCTATGGAAACTGCTTAAGGACTCCTGGCAATATACCGTCTCTCCCATTACTCAATAATATAGCACACAAAACATGAGATTCGAGGTCTGACATGCCAGTGTACAAATCATAGCTCCACTATTTCTAAAGATGGGAGTTTTCAACACAGAGCATTTTGGCAATTTCTGGGACATTTTTGGTCACTATAAACATTGAGGGGCACTACTGGGCATTCAGTGGACTAGATCAGAGATTTAGACAATGTACTTTCTACAGGACTGTCCACATGATTTGTAGTGACACAAAGGCATGGATGAGGATGCAAAAACCACTGGTAAAGAACTCAGCTTGGGACTTAACTCTATATAAAAACACCAACTTTTTTGTTTTGCATGTTTTACTAGATACTGAAATTCCCTGGCAAACCACTAGTATGTAAGTCACTAATCAAAGTAAAATTTTTTGGTGTTGTTCAGATCCTTACCAAGGGTTGTTTTTTATTTTGAGAAATTACATTACCAATGTCAAACCACTTAAAGAATTTAAATCAAAATATTTGTCTCAGTCTGCATTTGAGGTGGTCACATTCATGCTAATTCCACCTACAGATGAAAGCATATGTCGACTAAACTATGTATTCTAGGGTAGTTGTGTCTACCCTTACTTATTAGAATATATGTTAGATTACTTTTATTTCTATTTTATATAATAGTTGAATTATATTGTTTTTGAAATTACATGGATAAATTATTTAATTTTTGTTCTAGAATTTAAAAAATCATAAATTTTATATAAAAAGGTCAGTGGGTCTGATAATGTTGAGAACTACTATTTCTATGACTTAATCTGTATGACTCTTAAGTTTCCTGATCTATAATATGGGGGAAATAGTATCTATCTTACAAGATGTTTATGGAAAACAAGTGAAACAATGTCGTACAGCAGTTAGCACAGTGATAGGCACATTGTGTTTGATCTATATCAGTCGCATTATTATAATATCATTATTCTGTAAGTTCTTTTTGGAGTTAAAGCCTATGTTTGTTAATATCTCTATCCTTGAAACAATTTCTAGCATGTATCTGTCATTCAAAAAATATTAATCAAAAAAGCCTGCAAAGTTTTGCCAAAATGAAATCCCTTTTATTATATTTGAAGAAAAAGTAGTCTTTATCATTCTTACAAATAAAACAATTATCAAAAATTCTCCAATTTTGATAGGTATTTTATTGGTAAAATGAGGTGGAAATAGTGAGGAGGGGGAGAATAAATCCATGATACCATATTCATAGACGCTGACTCCACTTACTTTCAACTAAGGAGAGCAGTTGGAATGAACACAACTGTCTCCTACCTACTCAGAATACCAAAGTATAAAAAAGAAAAAAACACACACACACCTGAAATTATGGTGGTAAGAATATTTACCTAGTGAAATCTTTGGCATTTCCCCCCAAATTTGTATTAGAAATGACTAAGGTTTTAATTTCTTTGCTATCATAAACTAGCCTGTGTAGAAACAAAGACCCAACCACCAGCTCATTTGCCTCATTCTTATCTTAGAAATATAATGAAAGAAAACTTAAGTGTATCAGGAAAAATAATTACCACTGCCATAAACTTAAAACCCAAAACATTACAAAAGCAGAAGTCCCTTTTTGTCAACTTTCGATAAATCACCAGAGTTCATGCAAGTTCTAGGAGACAGAAATCTAATATTTTTTTACTTGCAAATAACAGGTACAATTAATAGCAAGCTCTAGATAGTAAAGATAGGTTAAGTATTTCTACAATCTATTCTTTAACAAGATAAAACATCCTGTTTTATTTTGAAGAAAAAATTTTGGAGGCTCTCATTCCTGTTATAAGTTTAAGGTAAAGATTTTTAGCTAGGGCGGCCAAGTGGCTCAGTTGGTTAAGAGCTCACTCAAGAAGGCGAGCTCTGAGCAACAGGATTGCCAGTTCAATTCCCAGCCTGAGCTGAGCTGCTAACTGGTGGCAGGATGGCTCAGCTAAAAAAAAAACAAACAGAAAACAAAAAAACTAAATTTATACACAAGTAATAATCCATATAAAATAGTAATAACATATATATATATATGTGTACACATATATAATATATTCATATATTATAATCTCTCCCTCTCTTTGTACATAATTAAAAAATGTACATGTATACATATACTATGTATTTATGTATGTTATATAGCAAAAAGAAAGAGAGACAATACTTTCTTTCAAAATTTCCATTAGAAATAATTATTTTTGTGTACCAGGTGCAAGTACACCTACCAAACGACCACTCATATTTCCATTATTAAGTTTTTCATTAATTT